CAAAATTCAAATGTCCGCTAGTGATGTGGCGCTACAATATTTGGCTATGTCTTGGCTACTTTAATATTATTTTTACGTGTTTTAGCTGGCAACACCGGATCGACCATGAAAGGGAGCCAATATTTAAACGAGGCTTAATTTTCTAATTTTTAACGATACAATAGCGACGATTATTATTGTTTAAAAAAATTTGATAGGCTTAACATGGAGGAAAATTCAATGTGAAGTAGGTTAATAGCATTAATAATATACTAATTACATGGTATATAATAATATACTACACTAATAATTAATTTTTTCATACTTTTCGGTTATCCAACTTTTCAATTATCCGACCAACCCCAGTCCCCAATTGAGTCGGATAATCGATGCTCTACTGTATACAAACATATAATCAATGCTCTACTGCAATCATTTCAAAAAACTTTTTTCAGGACATATTTTATTTCACAAAACATATTTTCTTTATTTCATGTATAGAATCCAGTTTTAGGTAAATTTTTAAGCAGAAAATAAAATTCAGTGTCATTTTTTTATGATTTTTAATTTATGATTTTTATGATTTTTAAATAATTTTATGAACTGAATTTTCAGGCAGTTTTATGGTCATGGGCCCATATGTTTTGAATTCTTTAGTTCAAAATTTCCCAAATAAAACTTTCAAAACCACATTTGACACATTTGGAGTTTAGAAGAATCTTCCACATAAACAGTACGAATATCTTTTACTGTTTGTATAGAATGATATCCTTTACAAAACTTAAAAAGCATGCATAATATGTCTGACATACATGATGTGCATTTTATCTGCAGACATTTTGACTTAATTTTATTCAAATGAAATATAATGTAAAAAAATTTAAAATAAGCTTCAAAACAAAGAATACAACCTCACATCAGGAATAATGTGTTAAATTTTACAACTTATAATTACATTACATATTTATGTTAAGTAAAAACAGCCATTAATAAAAATATGCAAAAACTTCTATTCAAATCCCAATAAAATTACTGTAATACAGTAGTCGCATTTTGCTATTCTGTGTTGCATATGCAATTATTATATTCTATATATAGATGCTTAATAAAAAAGCATCTATATATTTCTTATAATATTTAATTTAAAAAAACTTTTAATGTATTTTTAGAAATGGAGTTATGAACTTCAAAAATGTTTAAGCAAAATAAATGTTTTACCTTTTATATATTATGAACAATTGTGTTTTTGACTGTTGTAAGATTAAGGCATTTATCGTAAAGAATTTTTAAAAACGGAATTTAAAATTTATGATCTGTTTATACATA